CCAGGCGGCGTGTAAAGACTCGCCACCTGGCTTCCCGATTTGGATGGAAGCCGTCCCCATGCTTCTCGTCACTAGGTGCCGAGAAAGCATGGAGCCAGCTTTCTGGCCAATCGGGAAGCCGTCTTTCTGATTGGCCTGGAAGCCGGCTCTATGCTCCCTCATCATTAGGTGAAGAGGGAGCATGAAGCCGGCTTCCTGGCCAATCAGAAAGCTGGGCACTGTGTTATTACACAGCGCCCAGCTTCCTGATTGGCCAGCTTCCCGACCAATCAGGAAGCCGAGCAGCGAGTAATTGCAAGCTGCCCAAATTCCTGATTGGCCGGGAAGCCGGTTCTATGCTCCCTCGTCACAAGTCTCTTGAGGGAGCATGGAGGAGTACTTGCCCAAATACTCGGCATCGGCACCAATACCGATACTAGTATCGGTGCATGCCTGGTAAGTACCTAATTACCTGTCAGGGTTCCATTCTGGCTTGGCTGCCATTTTACTTACCTGTGTTTCCTTCTTTGCCTAAGCAGACTCTGGAAGGTTCCTCACTACTCCCAGGCTCCCTCATATGGCCAGACAGGAGAGCATCATCTGAGAGAGCCAGATGGGAGTTTCCTGTCTCTGAGTGATTATGTCACCCCACTCACTATATATAAACCACACAGTCCATTCCCCCCTTGTGGGGTCTTCCTGCTGCTCTGAGTAGCCTGAGTATGACCTGGTCCTGGATGACAGTCTCCTCTGGCTTGTTCCTGACAATGCTGATTTCCTGGCTCCTGCTCCTGGCTTGTTCCTGTTGACGCTGACCTCTGTGTTCCTGACTTGGCTTGGACAACTACCCACTCCGGCTCCTGACTCTGGCTTGTTCTGGTTTATGATTCTGCTTGCTCCTGTGGACACCGTTCTTAATAAATATTTTAACTAGCACCCTTTGCTTGTCTGGTTTTCATTGTGCTCTGACATTACCTACCTGTTGCAGCGCTGCTCACTCTCGGCTGAAGCACTCCTAGTTCCCAAACGACTGTGGAAAAGAAGTGTGCAGACGCATGCGCAGTAAAGGGGAGGGGATAAAACAGACATTAAAGCTCAATGGACGCAGCCAGGCACAGACACCGTGGGACACAAGGAGTCTACGGTGGATCGGAGAGCGGCACCAGCTCTGTAGTGAATGTGGTGAACGGGTGGAAGGAAGAAGATGATCGCAGCAAGAGGCATCAAATAAGGTGCTTACAGCAGCAATGGGGAGAAAACAAAATGTTGCCTTTAATGTCACTTTAACGATAAACAAAATGTATCTTATTTGTGCATCACTCTGCTGTAGATCCTCAAATCATCTCTGAATTGGTGCTGACACTGTCCTTCCTTCTGGAGGGTGGCTACTTTTGTTCCCCTTGGTCCCTGTGTGTGTTGTAAAGTAGTCATTGCTCCACACTCACTCCCATGATAGACTACAATCTCATGTTTAGTTTACTAGTTTGTATTGAAGTTATAGTCTATCAGGGGCGGATTGGGACGGGGGTAGGGTGGCAATTGCCCCCCGGGGTACCAGGGTCCATGGAGCCCCCCACTGACCACCAAGCCAAGGATTTTTAAAACAAAATCCTGGGACATTTTATCCCTGGGAACATAAAATAAACTTTTTTTTTTATTGTTATTTTTTTATATTCACCTGATCCCTGCTTCCACCAAAAGTGCGGCCTCCCGTCTCCCACGCTGTTAGAAGCTTTTCACTCATCCTCATAGTTTGAGCCGACGTGTGACAATGAAACTGTCACACGTCGGCTCTATAGATTGGGAAGTGAGCGAACACATATTGTCTCTCGCTCACTTGTCGATCATCTCCCTGCAGTCAGTCACGGCTCCCTGCAGCGATTCCCCCCCTCCACCAGCGCTGACTGGCGGAACGGACGGGGGAGGGGTCGGGCACAGCTGGCTCTGCCTCTAGGTAGGCAGAGCCAGCTGTCAATCACGCAGCTGGGTGGATCTTGACAGTAATGTCGGGATCCGTCCCGGCTGCGGCGGTCTCAGTATACCGCAAGCTGTAGCTTGCGATATACTGAGCTTAGGGTGACGGAAGGACGCTAGTATATGTCCTCCCGTGACCCTTAGGAGAACTATGGGGAAAAGCACAGACCCCATAGTTCTCCTTTAAAGGAACTTTATGAAGTTAAAGGAACAGTCTTGTCCTCCGATCTGTAATGTGACAGATGAAAGGGTTCCCACCTGTGTAGGGACCAGTGCTTCTATGATGCCTTGGATGCTGCTGTACCCAGGGCCGGATTCCTGGCAAGGCCACCGAGGCCCGGCCTCGGGGCGGCACTGAGCAGAGGGGCGGCACAGGTTTGAGTCAACCGACAACTGGAACATGGAGTTCCGGGCGCCGGGCGGTAATTTACTTTCTACATTTAGCCCTCCTTTGCACAAGCAGGACTAAATGTAGAATAGGAGAAATCACTTGTTTCTTTACAAGTGTTCTAGGCAATGTCGCCGAGAACACTTGTAATTCAATAAAGAGAACCTGTCACCTCCAAATGCTATCACACAGTGACTTGTTAGCTACTGTGTAATAGCAATAAAGTTTGGTGAAAAAAAATGATAAAAAAATAATTACATAAATAATGGTGCACTGGAGCTGGTACGAGATACTTCTGACAATACAGTAACTTCTGACAATACCAGTAACTTCTGACAATACAGGATAAAGGATAAGTACATCACTGATAAATCATGACACACTGCAGACACAGCAATAGCAGCAGTTTCCAGACTGTGGATCATCTGCATATGAAGTATGTGCCTCCTTCCAACTTGACCCCACTAGAGCAGAAGACTCTTACATAGTAGGGATCTGAGCATTACCATCCTGCCAGCAGACAAGGAGAGATGCTCCGTCATCATGAATACCCTCTGCTCAGTGATGCCAACATGTATGAGCCACCAAAGAGGGACCCCGCTAGCTGTTACAGGAAAAACGTGGTAGGCAGTTTACAACAGCCAAGAAAAGTAAAAGTCGTTGACTTGACCGTGTACCCCCATCTCTATCCCCGGGAAGCTACACCATACCCGTACGGATTTCCTAAGATATACAAGTGTAACGCTCACCCCTGAAGGAGCCGCTGGATAAACGGGTCTTCCATTGCCTGTCTAGGGATTTTAGCAAACGGCTGCCCAGGGAGCATCTACCCCCGTCCACTGGTGACTGACAAACTGAGAGCCAGACTGTAGATATGATGCTGATGGAACTTTATTGAATAACTTCATAACTGGGAGAGAGTGTTTAGTGCTTAGGACATCCATTACCAGAACAGAACTCCAGACTCACCAGTATTCCACAGTGAAGAATCAATAGGCGCACAGGCTGGCACTGGGTATTAGAGCAACAGCTGGAATGGGATAGGCATGAGATCTTCCATAGGAGAGACACCAAACTTGTTCCAAAGGTCCACTCCAGTACCAGACACCTCCAGCAGCCATCAGCTTCTCTGGTTATCTTCTTCAATCAGCATGTGATGCCTGTTCTAGGTAGGGTTGCAACCTGTCCAGGATTCACCCGGACAATCCGGGTTTTGAATGCTGTGTCCAGGTTTCATGGCAGCAGAAACCCGGACACAAGATGTCAGGCAGATAAGAGCAACAAAAATTAATTAGGAGCTACTGGCCCCTCACTGAAAATCACCTCCACTGTGATATTTACATATGAATGGGTGACGCTATTGACATATAAATAAGCCAAGAATCATTCTCCCAAAATTTTTTAGCTAGAGTGTTTGGGTTTCGCTTGAAAAAAAGGTGGCAACCCTATATCCAGGCTTGAGGCCTAGTCAAACATTTTCCACACTTGAGCATCCCTCCCCCAGGCCAAGCCTGGGGTGGGCTAGAACTAGACCTGAGTCTAGACTAGAACAAACTGGTCACATGGCAATTCCCTGAGTATATATGCCATGGCCAGCATACACCACTGGCCAGGAAACCCCCAGTGAGTGGCTGGTGAACTACACACACTCATAATATTGCCCCATTGGCTGTCCCACACTGCAGCAGGGTCACACTCCACTCAGGCAGGTATAATCAATAACAGAACACCTGGAGTTAACCAGATAAATGCCAACTATAATTCAGCCAGACGGACTACAGCTCTGGCAACCACTAACAGGGTTAGGGAGAACAAAAGGGAGAAGGCCGGAGAAGTGAACAATCTAGGACAACATAGCTGAACTGTAAAGATTCCAATTCAGCTCACTCTCCAGTTCAACTATGTTGTCGTAAATTGTTCACTTCTCCGGCCTCCTCCAAACTCTTCACCCTTTTGTGAATAACCCTCTAAATTTCCAGTCGTTACTCCAGTAAAGGTGTCAGAGGCTAGACAAGGATATAGTATGGGAGATTTACAAAGATTTGCGCATGGAGGAAAATGCTGCAATCTGCACAGCGCGCCCCACTCCAGGGAAATACGGTTTGTGCTGCTGTAGTATGATAATTACGGTAAGGGCTTCTATCGCGAGATTTGCTGAGAGAAGCTCTAAGCGGGACCCTTCAGTTTAACAACGGAGAGGAGGTGAGTGAGAGAGCTGGTGTGTGTTATCATGTGTCCTGCTTCTACCACACACCGGGGACGGTGACAGGCCTTTGTGTGTAATACCCCGAGCATGTGACTGTGGCGCCGCAACTACAACTCCCAGCATGTCCTCCAGACACACACTCCATACATGTCCTTATTGTTCTGTACGTCTGTCCCTCTCCTCTGTACTGTCCTCTGTCTGTGTGAGCCTCTCCTCACACTGTCTCCTTCCTCTCTCAGCCCTATATATTTGTATCCCTCTTTCTTCTCTAGCCCTTGCCCTATTTCTGTTTTTTGTAGCCCTATTGCCTCTGTGTACCCCCTGATCCTCTATATATGTACCCCTATATAGGGGTGGGTAAACTCCTCGAACTACAACTCCCATGAGGCATGGCAAGATTCTCACAGCCACGACTCCCAGAGGCAAATGCATGATTGGATTTTGGTACCTCTTTGGCGGGCTCCTTGTGCCATGACTCTCCTTATAATGTCACAGGACTATACAGGCAGCATTAGGCAGGAGATCACTCCACCCAATAGGGCCTACATAAAGCAGCAGTACAGTGATTTAGTGGTCAGCACTTATACCTTGCAGCACTGGGGTTCTTGGTTGGAGTCCCCACCAGAGCACAATTTCCACTGAGTTGCACGTTCCCCCTGTGCTTGTGTGGGTTTCCTCCGGGTACTCTGGTTTCCTCCCACATTTCAAAGGCATGCTGGAAGGTAAATTGGCTTCTGTGTAAATTTCAGGAAAGTTCAGCAGCGATCGCCTCCATCTATCTCTGGGAGATGTTTCCTCTAAATAGATAAAACAATTTTCAGCTGGAGGAGAATAATGATTGCAGTTTACTAGCTGATACTTGACAGGACCGGGAAAACATGCCCTCAAATCTACTCTCATAGAAGCCTCTGAGATCTCAGATACCGGTTTAATATTTTCTGTAGTAATATGAATGTTGTTTTTCCTTTTTTTGTGCAGCGCAAGAAGCAGCCAAGATGGATGAAATGGAGGACAACACCACGGTTCTGTCCACTCTGCGATCATTCAATAAATTTATCTCTCAGCCATTTGAAAGCACCCCACCCAGTGCCAACACCTCCACCATGTCCGGGGGTTCCCTACAGATGCAGTTCAATCAGAGATTCATGGTAGGGGTCAAATGATTATAGTTGCGATGTATTAATAGTTCCGGGATTTTCTTCTCCCCAAGAAAATAAGTGATAAAAAAAAAAGAAATCATTGGGGCCCCGATGAGAACAATTCTTACATCGAGGCCCACAAGCAGCTGCCCACAAGCAGATATAACAAAACACTTTCTGTGGTATATTTAACAAGAGTGCAAATAAAAAAAGTTAATTCGAGTTTACATACACTTTAGCAAGCTCATAGATATTACATGACAGTTTACTGATCTGATTGTTAGAAGGGATGAGGCTGGGCTTGGTGCAAGACTGTTCCAATACTCTGGCACCTCTCCTACCGTCTCAATCTGTTGCAGGGAGACACATTCCCTGCACCGCAGTAATGCATCACAAAGGTTTGGGGAATGCCCCTGCTCCAACTCCTGCCATAGATTTGGTGGTGGTCCAGAGTTTTGAGCAGGCTTGAGTGAATCAGGTTCCCACCAGGCCCGGCCTCATCCTTAATTGTTAGTGGCTGGATGAGGGGACTGACTGTTATCTGTTCAGAATATCTCTGCTGCTGAATGGTTATAATTCACCTACAGGTTGGGATACCATTTGAATGCACATGCTCACCAACATGCTGGTATGCATATATATTTTTTTGTTGCTATTCTAAAAATGTGGTTTAGTTATGTGTAAGATTTAAAGGTGAAATCAAATATTCACTTATATATATTCACTTATATTTTATATCTGTAACCATAAAAAGACTAGATACATGTGCAGCAGATCGTTGGTGGATAACAATATAGGCCACATCCAGATATATATATATATATAGCATTGTAATGTTTCATGTGCTCTGGGCGCGGTGGTATTGACTGATGATCTGTAATGAGCGCACATACATTATGTTGAGATTTCCTAATCATGCTTCACTTTCTTTTATAGATTAGGACTTCTAATTAACCAGCACCAAACATATTGTTTTTCATCTGCTGTGTACCTAGCAGTGGCACGGTGCCTTTGAAAAGTCAATAATGTCTACATTGTTTTATTTTGCTCCTTTTAATATTGTAATGTTTCTTTATGTGTAACAAACTCGCTTTAAATCTTCTTTTTTTTTTTTATTCATCTCCCCAGTTAGAGGAACAGGCCGCCCAGATCTGCTCCAAGTCGCATCTTATCCAAATGGAGAGAGAAAAGCTTCAGATGGAAGTGGGCCATAAGCGGGCTCGCATTGAACTTGAGAAGGAAGCCAGCACAAATGCGAGGAATTATGAGGTGTGAAATTTTTTTACTTTTGTCACATATAGGGATGCACCGAAACCGGTTTTTAGGTATTGAGTAGCGATATTTATCTTTCGCGACTCGTCGATACCGGGGCCGTGTCCCCCGTTTATCAGGAAGTAGGGCGGCGGATCATGATCCGGCTCCCTGATTGCCTGGGCAGCCGGTGTTCTATCAAAAGAACACTGGCTTCATTTGCCGAAGCTGCCTGGCTTCCTGACCAATCACGAAGCCGAGAGGCGGGTCATTACTTGTTGCTAGGCAGCTTGGCTGGGATACCAGTACTTCTGCTAACATGAAGCCGGGCGGCATGTCATTACCCGACGCTTGGCTTCTTGACTGCCTGGGAAGCCTGCTCAATGCTGATTGGCCGGGAAGATGGCTTCCCGGCCAATCAGCATGGAGCCGACTTCTCGGCCAATGAGGAAGCTGGGAGGGGGGTCATTACCCTCTTTCCGCCTTCCTGATTGGCTAGGAAGGTGGCTACATGCTGATTGGGTGGGAAGCTAGCTCCGTGATCCCTTGCGGCACTGCCGGTCAGAGGAAATATCCCTCTGACCGAAAGTTCCGGTATCAGGGGTAAGTTCCGGGGTATTTAAGCCAGTAGGAGTACTCACCTTAATACTTGGTATCGGGGCATCCCTAGTCACATATGCAAACTTAACGCTGATGGTCACTGCTACAGTGAGGGGATGCAATCTTCAACAAAGTTTCCTCACATTGTGTTGCAATCTACTTTGGGCTACCCAACAGTTTTAAAGCAGAAAAAAATGGACCCAGCGCTGCAGAACAGATTTTTTATCGTGGGGAATCATGACGCATGCATGTTCGTGCATTGTAACGTGTGGGTTAAAATGTAAACAGTGTAAATAGGCCACTAATGGTTTTTGTTGTAGACAAGTTACAGTGATCATCTTGATGTAAACAATGCTCTCATTATATGGTAATGTTTTAAAAACACTCTTTTTATATGTAAAATTAGCAAGTATATCCTATGAGGGGGATTTATCAAAACTGGAGCAGAGAAAATCTGGAGCACCTGTGCATGTCAAGCAATCAGCTTCTATCTCTCATTTTCCAATGTTAATTGAACAAACTGAAGAGAGAAGCTGATTGATTGCTATTGGAAACTGCTCCAGATTCTGTCTGCTCCAGTTTTGATAAATTCCACCCTGCATGTCCACATGTAGCAGCCATATGTGCTCATTAAGTAAGCAGGTTCTGCTCTGTGGTGATATATGAACTGACGTTACAATAATCTTTAGGTTGGCTGACTCCTTGAAAGCTTTACACTCCGCTGTGTGTCTGATGTCTTCTCAATAGTTGTTAAAGGAGAATGATGGGGAGAGTGAAATACGCTCATCCCAATAGTTAGAGCCGACATGTGATACTGCAGCTGTCACACTTCGTCTCCTTAGATCAAGAACTGAGTGATCACATATTGCTGATCACTCAGTTCACGGTCTTCTCCCTGCCGAGAAGGATGACTGTCGGGCACGTCTCCCTGCAGGGAAATCCCCCCCCCCATCAGCGCTGACTGGAGGGACAGCAGGGGAGGGGGGTGGGCACTGCTGGCTCTAGAGAGGTAAGCCTAGTTGTCAATCAGGCAGTGGGGTGGTTCCCGATACTATTGTCCGGATCCTTCCTGGCTGCATTGCATCTCTACGCTCTTGGCATATAATGGGCAATAGCCCACTATATGCTAGGTTTTGGGTCACAGAAAGACATTAGTAAATGTCCTCCTGTGACCCTAAAGAGAACTTTGACCAAACCTTTTTATTGTAGGACCTTTAAAGTAGAAAGGTTAAATGAGTCAAATACAGAACTCCTTTTGATAGTTAAGGGGGCTTTCCTTTCACTTCCTGCAAGGATGTTGTGTTTCTTGCCTGCCTGTCCATTTCCTGTATGGGCTTCACAGGGGCAGGAAGTAAAGGAAACTCTCCCCAGTAGGATGCCGACAAATATAATAATCTGACAAAAATTGTAATTCTTGCCCAGTCTCTGAAATATAAAAAAATTGCTGCACTGCAATAGTGTGAGCCGGCCCTAAGTGATCAGTCATTGTGTGATCATTAGAAGGCAGGGTAGGTTATACTGTTTTTGCTTGGTACTTACTATTAATAAACCTCTACTAAACGTGTAGAATCTCTTCCCATAATTCTCTAATTTGTGACATGACCAGGGCTTGAAAAAGTTTAAGGCGTCTCACCAGTGAGTCAAAAATTTCACCAGTCAGCATGACCAGACTATAGCCTTGCACTGTATGTTAATATTTTTTAGGGACACACAGCTTTCTTTTGGTGGTATTTAATCACCACTCGGAGGTTGGTTATTTTTTTTACTATATAATGAAAAAAGTACAGTCAATTTCGAAAAAGAAAAAACTTTTCCCTACGTTATGTTAAACATTTATTCTTACCCATATTTTTGATAAAATATAAAAGGCGGGGTCACGTCGGGTAAATAGAGACCAATCATGTCAAGCCTTAAAATTGGATAAAACGACCACACCGAAAATTGGCCATAGGCGACGCTTTAAACACTTTTACTGCTCATCAGTTTAGTGATTAATGGCCCTAAAATTATTGCTCTCATTCCGAAGTTCGTGGTGATATGTAACATGTGCGGCACAAAAGGCGCAATCGTTTTCGCATGTAGGCACACCCGACGCATGATTGCTTGTGTATGTGGGGGGCGGGGGACTTAAAAAAAAAAAAACACAATTTTTTTTTTTTTTTACTTTAATTTTTTTTTCTTTTTTGTATTTTTGTTTTATTTTTACACTTAACTTTATTGCTATCACATAGGGGGCTAAAAAGTCCCCTATGTGATAGCCAAATCTCTAGGACCCCTAATGTCACCTAGGGACCCCCAGAGAAGCTGATGAAGCACAGATCTGCTTCACCAGCTTCTGAAGCTGGAGATTGACTGCAGAATGCAGAAGTGATGTAATATACATCACTTCCTGGATTCAGGGACTGGAGAGGAGATCAGAGGGAGATCGTGCACTGAACTCCCTTTGATCTCCTGTTAGAGAAGCCGTGCCGGTCCCAGGCACAGCGGATCTCAAGACCGGCAACGGCAGTGACAGCTGCTGCTAATACAAGTGCTCGGGCGTCTCTAGAGATGCCCGATCGCTTGACTGTAAAGTTCTTGGCTGGCCGTTTCATTACTACGGCCAGATGGGAAGCTACTTGTCGGGCTCCGGTGTCCTCTCGTCAGAGGAGAGGACGAGCAGATTTTTCAAGCCCCGGACATGACACTTTTGTGTAATTTATAGATTTCTAATATTATTTACGAAGGGTTCTGAGTTTGCTTATCTTGCTGTAAATATGGGTCTAGTTTTCAGGCATTACATTAGACATACTTCTACTTGCTTTGCCGGGATTGTTTTATAACATATTGAACCTTAACATTTTCCTGTTGCTGGGACGGGGAACAGCTTGGCTTTGGGGAGTCCTCAGAGTTCAGCCATAAGAGAAATAACTAGTCAAAATGTGGACAAATGTAGTGAAATTCATAATTTTTCAGCATTATAAAAAATGTTTCTGGTATTCTTTCAGAGGGAGGCAGACCGGAACCAAGATCTTCTCAACCGGATCAGAGCTCTGGAGGAAAAGGAGAAAGAGTTACAAAGCAAGCATCAGGAACTGAATGAAATGAACAAGTCCTGTAAGAAGACAATTGAATCACAAAGCAAGAAACTGCTAGAAAAGGAGCATACATTGGCAGAGGTTAATCAGGTAGAGTTAACTTCTATTGCAAAATTTAAAGTAGTATTAAGCCCAGCAAAGTGTTTCTTTATATTTTTACCCAAGCACTTAGTCATAATGTTTCCAAACGGCTTTAACTCTCTCAGCTCAGCTTCTCTGAACTTCCTGTCCAGTACAAGTCTCCAAAAGCTGTCCATCTACTAGCCTGGGGAAGGGGATGGGGGAGTAGCTTGACTTGCTGTGCTTGTGAAGACACACAGGAGGCAATTTATCAAAATTCGAGCAGACAAAATCTGGAACAGTTGCCCATGACAACCAATCAGCTTCTCTCTTTAGTTTGTTCAGTTAAGGTTTGAAAATGAAAGAGAGAAGCTGATTGGTTGCCATAGGCAACTGCGCCAGTTTTGATAAATTTGCCTCACACAGCTTTCTAGCACACACAAGGGTGGCCCCATAGGACTGTGCAAGGGAAAGGAGCCACCCTAAAACAGGATATCCGGATCAGTGCTCAGGGGACCAGCTAATTTTGCAGCAAGAAAAAACTTTAAAACATCAAGGAGCAGCTTCCATTGTAAGTGATTTGAAATGGGTCAAAAACCTTTTGACTTTAATATCACTTTATTGGATTTGTAGTGTCCACATGCAGGCTGATCATTGTGATATCATCTGTCTGGTTACATTTGCTAATTTACACTGAACACTTTTCTTAAAGAGAATGTTTTGTTGGTTTGTATATATTATGGCCTGGATTTAAAAAAAAAAATCACTTTTAGATCAATTTTCTTTCTTGGGTATATATGAAATCTTGCATATGAAATTGTAGCATTCCTTTTCTTTTTGTGTTCAGCCATCAGGTGATGCTTTCGTTGACAACGTTTTCCATCGTCGATTTTAATCGACTTAATCGAATAACTGTTGCAGCTCTACTTTAAGCTTCTTTTCACTGGTTTTCTAGGGTATCCATATTTTGATTTGCTGTAACTAGCCTGTTAGGAGATCCCAGTAGCTCAAGCTGAAATGTGTGTACATATGTGTATGAGTTAGGCCTCGCATCGCGACCGTCTCCGTATGTTGTGGGGCAGGAGGGGGCATGGCGGTCCATTGAACTAAATGGCACCGTAGCCACGCCCTCCGGCCGCAATACGAACACAAGGCACATTATGCCTGCGGTCCGGTCCGAACAAAATAGTGCTTGGAGTTACCAACTATTCTCATAATCGATTATTATCGATTAGTTGTTGCAGCCCTAGTGTGCCTATATACAAAAAAGACGATTGCGCTACACATGATGGGTATTGCCGTGTGTGCCAGATGTTGTGCTGTGATTACTCTTGTATGGATTATCAGAGGCCACCTTGCATGGTAAAATTACCATTTGTTCATGTTTTAATCAGGCTTCTCTTCTTACTTTTTATACCTCAGGATTTAAGTGAATTGAAGGGAAAGGTGTCTGAGCTCCAGCTTAATATCATGAACCAAGAAATGCAGATAAAGACTCAAGACTCAGAGAAACAGGAGCTAACGGAACAGCTGGATATGCTTCGCAAGTAAGTTTGTGTCATTTGCTGTCTTCCTACTGATGGGTTAAATTGTCAATCTCTATTGTTGGGAAGAAATTTGGGTTTTTGATTCTTTAGAGCCCATTCACACTGGATCTGTTGCGTTTACAGGTGCACCGAAATGAACATTTCGAAACCAAAATTAAAAAAAGTTAGGCCGAAACCTAAAATGTTTTTTATTTTAACTTTGAAAATTTTTTTAAAATATTTTATTTTTATTCATTATTTTTAACCAAACTTTGTAATTTTTTAAAAATATTTTTTCATTAAATTATTTTTATTTTTTACTTTACTTTTAGGGGCTTCGGGGAAATATTAGTGGTCTAAACAGACCCCTGATATTTCCCTTTTAAAATAGAAAAAGAGATTGAAGACAGAGTCCTCAATCTCCTTTTCTGCACCCCCCCTGTTATCAATTAACAGCAATCCTCTATACTGAGTGTTCCTGTTCATTCATAACATGAGAACAGAGCATGTTTACTATAACCACAATCATGAATGAACAGGAGATGATGTAGATCACTCCCATTCATTCATAATTGAGGATATAGCTAACATACCATGTCCTCAATTATTTACAAACACGCAACGATCGCTGATCACTGAGTGTTTGTACCGCTCAGCCTCCTGTGACAGCGCTGGCTGTCTCCGCCCACACCGCTCTCCTCTGATCTGTCACAGGAGGCTGAGCGGTACGGAGAGGAGAGACGCCAGCTGCTCACAGAGCTGTCCTGCAGCGCTCGTCCGCCTGTGACAGTTTCTCTCCTCCCCGCTGGGACACAGAGCAGCGCCCAGCGGGGAGGAGAGAAAGAATGGATGCACCGCTGTATCGGCCAGAAAATGGCACTTTCGGCATTATGCCACAAGTGCCATTTTCGGCCGATATATCGGTACATCCCTAGTTGCATTGCGATCTGTTTTCTAATGGATGGTAGCGCAAAGGCAACAAAAAAATGAATCAGTGCAAATGCAATAGTTTACACTGGTGCGTTTTGTTGCCCGGAAATAAAAGTAGAGCATGCTCTGCTTTTTTACATTGCAGCGCAATACAGCAAAAACGCGAGCTACCGCATCACAAGCCTTACAGTGAGCTATGTCCAGTCTGGACAATCGGAAAAAAACGCAACACATCAGATGGAAATCAGAAGGTTCAATCGCAGGTCGACAGACCCTCCGTGGACCTGCGAGTACCTTCTGATTTTGTTGTGAGTGGGGCCCTGAGGATACAATTGTATCTTTATGACATAAAATAGAAAGTGTTCTTGATGTCGAGACAAACCTTTTTGTTTTAGTTTTGTAGATTGGGAAAGGATTAAAACCTGTCACTTTTTACTGCTATCCGAGAGATTTTTCCTCATTTACAGTCTAGGTGACAATGGTTTCATCAGAAAGGAAGAGAAGGGTAATCTGCACCAGGGTTACAAACAGCAATATCAATCTTGGGTTCTAGCTTTTCCCTATTCAACTGGAACAAAAAAAAAAAGTGTATTTTTGTCTGCTTTGCCATTGGAGATGTCCCCAGATAGCAAAGCCGGACAGGGGTTCTAACCCTTCCCCCTACCCTGCGGAACAAAAAGGTTTTGACTGGAGAGAAATTTTAAGGCCACATTTAGAAAGGCGGCTGTATATTTAGGAGATTAATCTGCGGTTTTACCTCTCTCCAGCCGCCCCAGCTGTGAATTAGGAAAAATGCAATGTTTTTTTTTTCTTTTTCTTTTCAGAAAGTTGCAAGACTGTAACCAGATAAATCATACATTACAAGACACGGAAGCAGAACTTGTGGACGCTCAGTTAAAGATTAAGGTGGGTATACTGGATCTTGCAAGTAGGAACTACTGCCTTCCTCTATTATGAGTTATGTGAGCCCTACTTATGCCCTTATCAGGGGATGAAGACTGAGGGTTGTATATTTCTGTATAAAGTCCAGTAAGTTGGAGGCAGTGTTGGGAAGAGTTGTCACTTCAGCTGTTGATCATGCATGGTCCTTGCTTTGCTTTTTTGGGTACTAATAATGCAAAAAGTGAGTATTTCTACAGAAGATGGACTGAAAAATATACAATGCTTACTTGACTTCAGGCAGCGTTCCAGTCAGCCCCTGGGAGAAGCCTTGAAAGTCAAACATGCAACTGACAGATGTTTGGGGTAAATTACAGGAGGCGGACCATAGGAAGGACATGCTCAACATCTAATGTTGTGTCTTGATTTTATAAGCAGTGGTTGGGGCAGATCTTTGACCAGGCTGTATTTCCTTCTGCTGAGTACTCTGATGGAAAGCCACCCACCTAGCTCTACTGTCTGGCCGAACAAAATTACAAATCTTTTGAAAGGTGAAACCGTTCATATACGTGTATTTAGGCTTTAGCCTGGAACTAATCACTTGAAGCTTTACATTAACACTGGGACATGAAGATTTTAACGTTGATGTGTAATGTGTTATGCCTACAGGCAGGAGGTAGCAAAAACTGATCTTGCATTTGCTGTCTATTATTTTGCACCAGTTAACTAGTTGCACTAATCTGGTCATAAAGGTTGGAGGGAAAGGGCTTAAAGTAGAATTAAACTCTCCTTTGTTTTTGCATATATCTCCTGCTAGCAAGCAGGAGATGTATGCAAAAACATTTTTAAAAAGTTACCAAAAAGGTAAAAACCTACCTGTGTCTCTGCCACTCGAGCAGCCGTGTAGGATGCTGATGGGGCGGGTGCATGCACAGTAGACCTCTTCGGTGGGGAGAAGAGGAGACACACAGTGGAGCTGAATGCACGCAGCTGAAAGCATGCACGTCGGACAGACACCGTGAGATAGCAATCTGTGCTGGATCAGAGACCGACACCAGCGCTGGAGAGATTGCTGAACACAAGTGGAAGGAAGAAGATGATCGGATCAAGTGGCATAATTTAAGGTAATCCCTAAAGCAGCATGGGGGGAAAATATTTGTGACTTTAATGTCACTTTAATGTAAAAGGTTGGGGCTCACTGGAAGCAACTTCATCACAACAATAGCAGCTGAATGCAGTAGCATCAAGTACTAATATAAAGAAGTCTAACTAGTTCAGTTATATAAATTAAAACTGACCTTGGTGTTTGTCTATTAACAAGCTTCTTTTTTCTACAGACTCTTGAGCAGCAGTTGTTTTCTCAGGAGCAGGAATCCACAATAGTCAAGAGTATGAAATCTGACCTGGACAAACTTCCTAAGCTTGAGAGAGAACTGCAGCAGCTGAGAGAAGAGAATGCTTACCACAGGTTTGTCTATCCAAGGGCAGTTACTACTTGACATCATGTATACTGTATTAGCCCCTGAGCCTGGTCAGTGCAGTGATTGCAACAGTATTTTATCAATGGCCAGGCAACCTGCTTATAGCTGTTCCTACTGTGAACAAATAGGGTGCTTCATTGCATCTTTGTTTTAAGTAGATTAGTACGTAAATATTAGGTAGCAATGCATGAGATTTCATGATCTATGCAAAACAATTACATTTAATAGATGCTTTTGTATAGCAAATTTGGCTTTATGAAGTAAAATTCTATCAGCCTTTTATTATAAGTCTTTTATTACTGGGTGGAATCCTGGAGTTATATGAATACAACAAGGAGCCATAGGCTTCTTCTGCCATCAATCAAACTGTTGGGCAGAGAGGAGGGGCGTGGCCTGCCGCAGGGCTGTGTGTCTATGGACAGCTCCTGCGGGCATGGCCGGGAATGCACACGCAGCCGCCTAACTGATGGAGGCACCTATGCAGGGGACAGGAGGGAGAGCGCGCGGGGACCCACTAGAAAATAAGGAACAAAAAACTTTTAAAGAAGAACAGCATTTTTACACAAAGGTGGGCCTCCTGGTTGTATCCATTAAAAAAAAGCATCTTTTGAAAGTAGTATTAAACTAGTAGCTAGCAAGCAGTAGATTTATGCAAAAACATAAAAACAATACAAAAAACATAAAAACAATACAAAAAAAGTTACCAAACGGGTAGCTTCTTGAGTGGCTGTGCAGGAGGATGAGTGCAGGCACATGCACAGTAGAGATCACTGGTGGGGAGAAGAAGACACAATGAGAGTCAATGCACGCAGCGGTGCACGTCGGACAGACACCGTGGGACACGAGGATCGGCGCTTGTTCAGAGACCGGCACCAGCGCTGGAAAGAAGATGACGATCAGATCAAGAGGCATCATTTAAGGTAAGTCCTTAAAGCAGCATTACACGCTGCCCGGCTTCCTGATTGGCCAGGAAGCTGGCCCCATGCTCCCTCCTCACTTGTGAGTAGGAAGCATGGAGCCGGCTTCCCGGCCAATCAGGAATGACTTGCTGCCCGGCTTCCTGATTGGTCGGGACGCTGGCTAATCAGGACGCTGCGCCCGGCTTTCTGATTGGCCGATAAGCCGGCTTTATACTCCCTCGTCACCTCATGAGCATGGAGCCGGCTTCCCAGCCAATCAGGAAGCCCGGCGCCACATCATTACACGCCACCTGGCTTCCCGATTTGGCCAAAAAGCTGGCTTCCGGTATCAGTATTCGGTATCGGCGAGTACCGAAAACAAAAATATCGGTACTGGTACTCTATACTGAAATACCGGTATCAGTGCATCCATGCTTTCTCATCGTCTAGTGACGAGAAGCATGGGGACGGCTTCCCTGGTAATCAGGAAGCCAGGCTTCCTTAATGGGACTTCCGGTATCAGTATTCGGTATCGGCGAGTACCGAAAACAAAAATATCGGTACTGGTACTCTATACTGAAATACCGGTATCAGTGCATCCCTAGTTTTAATCCTTCACTCTGTTCAAAACTAGAAAGATAATGTTGCCTGGACATACATTTTACATTGTAACGGCAAGGAAACAGTGCAGTTTTCAGCTGATCCTACATAGAGGAAATACATATGCATTCTTGGCGCTTGTTTTGATTAGATTATATTTCCTAAAATAACATTTTTGTGTTTCGATTGGTTTGATGTCTTGGAACGCTGAGTAATAGGCAGCACAAAGCTGTTTACTTCTAATTTGTTGTTATTACTGGGGCAAATCAGGTAATACATTTAGTAAACAGAGCCAGGAATGATTACTGCCATGACTTGATTATGTACATCAGTGTAATAGTGGATTTTCTGCAATCAGGGAAATGAAGGAGAATAATGCGCTACTAAAAGAAGAGGCGGAAGGGCTGCACAAAAAGCTAGAACGATATGAGAGGATGAAAGAAGAAATGGTGGCCATAGAGATTGAGAAGGAAGTAAGTATTCTTGCCTTTTACAAATGTTTGATTTTGGAAACATTTAAAGGTGCACTCCAACTAAACATATATTTGGGCAGCGATATTTAGGTCACTATACATTTAAAAAAAAAATTAGACCTAGGCTATGGTACCTTTCACATGGACCGCCCGATCACGTCCGCCTGTCTGCTT